ACATCAGTAGTATGCAGTTAACCATGACACAGGCACAGTCTCAAATGTCTCATTTGTAAATAAAAACAAATTACAGATAACTCTTTAAAAAGTCAGGAATCAATTTGACGCAGGCTCCCTTCCCATACTCTAAAATTTTAAAAATCAGAATATTTTTTAATTTTGACCCATGCCATGGGGAAACATCTAATGAACACTAATTTACAAAAGTTATTTCTTCCAAAAATAATGTTTTCTTTTTTGTTTTTTTTTGTTTTTACTAATGCGCCATTTAATCTAAGCTGTCCAAAATATAACTCCAAATACGGACATATGTATGCATGTACATGTATATAAAATCAATTTTCAAAAAGTGATAAACTTTCATTTGACAATGTAACCCCTTTGTATTGAAATGTCATTAAACAAAATAAAAACACTAATTGTACCAACCAGTTTTCAGGTCTCTATTGTAGTTGGTAACTGAATATATGAGTATATATGAATTTTTGTCAAACCCAAAACAGTGATTGAACATGACTGACATATGTGGTTAGTAATGTCTCCTGTACTATAATTAGTTGGTAGAAACTGAGAACCTTAAATCCAATGTTGATTCTTTACCTCTTCAAGTGAACCAGTGTATATAACTTGTGGCAGAATTTTTAGTGTCCAGCCTAATATTCTTTGTCTCAGCTGCTAATAATCCAAGTAAATAATTGCCAAATGATAGTAATTGCTCATCAGGGGAAAAAGGATTTTTTTTGTAACAATTTTAGTAAAATTAGTAAAATTGCTCTACCTGGTTCACTGTCATATCTCCATATAATAATAAATTATGAAAACCCTTTTACTTTTTATCCTATTATTTTACTCGCCCTCTTAAGCTCAATTAAGTTCTTTGAGCATTATCAACTTTGTGAAAACCCTTTTACTTTTTATCCTATTATTTTACTCGCCCTCTTAAGCTCAATTAAGTTCTTTGAGCATTATCAACTTTGTGAAAACCCTTTTACTTTTTATCCTATTATTTTACTCGCCCTCTTAAGCTCAATTAAGTTCTTTGAGCATTATCAACTTTGTGAAAACCCTTTTACTTTTTATCCTATTATTTTACTCGCCCTCTTAAGCTCAATTAAGTTCTTTGAGCATTATCAACTTTGTGAAAACCTTTTTATCCTATTGCCCTGATCCCATGAAATTAAATGTGGCTTGAAACTTGTTGCATATATTTAAGCTTATAGTTTGGAGTTATTGTGAAGCATATTTCATTTTACTATTCTTTAATTTTTATTTTTTATTTTATTTTTTTTTGTTTTTGTTTTACTAAAATTTATTTATTTCATTTTAGAAACTTCTCCAAGATGTTGAAGCTTTTCATTCTCGTTTGAAAAACATTTTGAAGAAAGGTCATGCAATTGGTGAAGATTGCTGCACAAATTCTGAAGCGGACTTATCACACAAACTTTCAGGTCAGCCACTGGGTGAATCTTTCATTAAATTTCGGATTTATGGTTACTGGAAAGTCTATTAAATGATTTATATTGTTACTTGATTATTATTAACTTGATTATTTATGACTGCTAAATAAAACAATGGGTATGTTTCTAAAGAAGGCTTTATCAGATGATGACCCTGGGATCATTATGGTTTCAAGGCTGAAATAATATTAGTACTAAGTGAGGGTGTTCTACCAATACCCCTCACTAACACTGGACTTTGTTTCTCTCATTATGCAGGTATGTTAGATCTGTACAAAAACAGTTTGTGTCCAATATTGAATCATCATTATATATTTTCATTTTTTTGTTGTAAACAGTATTGTGTGTGTGTGTGTGTGTGTATATATATATATATATATATATATATATATATATATAATGTCATAGAGAAACAATTTATACAAAAAATTAAATAGCAATGTTAATGTGATTAATGGTGAAATCACTTTGCTTTGCTTTGCTTTAATGAGACATTAACTTACTATCAGTTCTTTGAATAATAAGATCCTTATATTTGAGTTGTTGTTAGATGGAAGACACGTGCCAAGTATTTTCAACAATTTCAAATTGTCATCTTCAGGGTGCAATTTTCCCATACATTATTTATTCACAGTTGAATATGTTTTGGAGCATGCGATGCCACAATGCTAGAGTTCTTGTTCAAATCAGCCAAGTGAGAATTTTCAATCGCATTAAGATTGCTATTTAATTCTTTGTATAAATTATTTCCTTATGATATAAAATATAAGCTGCACACTCTAATTTATATATATATATATATATATATATATATATATATATATATATATATATATATATATATATAATAAAAATGGACATTGAGGTTCACACCAAGTGGCAACAATCTGTTTCATGCTTAAACACAATCATCTGGCTAGTCTCATGGCCTGAAGATTGCTTTCAAGTATGAAACAGACTGTCACCACTCGGTGTTGACCTCAGTATCCACTTTTATATTTACACACATTCTATCCTTGATATTTAAAAACATTACCCATAAATATAGTACACTTTAAAACTATATTTTTCTTTATTATTTACATTATTTACATTCAGAAAAAATAAGAAAAAAATAGGTGAAAAAAAAATAAATAAAAATAGGTTTTAATACCAGAAATACTTTGTAATAAAAAAAAATAAATACCAGCTATACATTCTTTGGGGAAAAAAATTGGAGAATGGAAATCAGAATACAAAAATAGAAAAGAACAGTTTGTGCTGACCCGCCTTCACATAGACCACACCTATATCACCCACCATTATTTACTAGAGGGCACAGAATCCCCAATATGCACTACATGCCAAGAGAAATTTACAGTGGAACATATACTGTTAGTGTGTGTGTGTAGATTTTGATCTAGTGCGGACAAAATATTACCAAGTGAGTAATTTCAAAAACTTTTTACGAAAATAAAACCATCTAAGATTGTAAATTTCCTAAAAGAAGTTGGATTGTACTCAAAAATATGAGTAATTGAAAAATGGTTCAAATATATATGTATACATACACACCTTTTTTACCAAACTATCACTATGAATCTATTTCAAAATCTTTGTTGGCATTAAATGACCCACTGAGGTTTTGATATGCCATAAGATAAACAACCAACCAAATCTTCGTTTTTGTTGTTTTTATCACAACATTTCAGACATTGTACACTCCAGACTTAATCAGGTGTATGTCAATCTGGGTAACGTACAGGGAATTCTGAACAGAACCCTTTATTTAATCTATGGAGGTAGACTTTTCTTGTTCCACTGCCCATGTCTAGGTATATTCCCTATAGGTTACCCAGACGTAATAACACACCAGTCAAAATGTGATGATAACGAAGATGAGAACAATAATTAAAATGTAATAGCGTAAATAATGATATTTCCTCATCCCAGAAATTCAGAAAGAAATATTTTAAAATATGTATATTGTCATCCACAGGCAGACTGTTTTGCTGTAGTGTGACTAAATGTATAAATTCTTTATAAATTATATGTGCTATTTAAGTGCAGCAGAAATTCAGGATATAGAATAATGTGGAGTTATTTGGATTTTTAAATTCTGTGTTTTGTTTTCATTGGTTGTCTACACACATGCATGCAAAATAATGCCATAAAATTAATGATATGGTATCTACACAACCATTGAAAACAAAACAAAAGAGAATTTTAAAAATTGAAACAATTCTGCATTATTTCACATCCAAAATTTCTGATGAAGCTCAATAAATATCGAAGCATGTTATATTCATAAAAGCTTTCCTCCTTATTCCTTATTTAATCACTAGCCAGATTTAATTGCTATTACAACTTACACACCTTTAAATTTAATAGATTTAATTTGCATGAGAGTGTACTATCTTAGAAGGTACTGGATACACCACAAATGTAGTAATTTTTTGTTGTCACCATCTGACAATATATCTCCAACTGGCATCATTTTAATATAAATTAAAATGATAGTAGAAATTTAAGATTTATCTTCAGTACAATTTAGTGACTAATGAATGTCAGTAAAAGTAAAAGTTGTATTCTCTGCATGATTGGTTTTTACTTTTCTTTTTTCAGGTTTTGAATCTCGCTATGGAAGCATCAAGAAACAAGCACAAGCCAATTCCAAAGATCTCAGATATCATTTTGACCAGCTATGTAAGTTCCAGGCAAAATGCAACAAACTGAGAAGTTGGTGTAATGAAACTGAAATAAAATGTTCAACTCCACTTCATCTAGATTGTGCAACATCTATTCTCCGAAATCAGTTTGATGAATATCAGGTAAACTTTGATTTGAATTTTAGTTTTGATTCTCAGTTTAAAGTCAGGTCAGGCTTAGGCCTGCTATTGGTAACATGTAACTCAATACAACCTGCTGCATGGGTGGGTGGTTGGCATCTAAACCAGTGACCCCTACTAGCTTTTCTGCTGGTGACAAGGGTGGTATGCAATACCTGTCAAAGGGTAGATGAGCTTCTTATGGGAAGTTGTTGTATGTACACAAACATGTTGGCTGTTGGCAGCCAACACGTTTGTGTACATACATATATGTGTGTATGTTTGGCTAGGATGGTGACTCAAACACACTCGGTGTACTTGGACTACTGTCTGTGTCGGAAGAGCATCTGGCTGTGTAAAACCCTGCCTCATATCATTGACATTTATTATGTAACAGATTAATTTAAATTTAATCTATAAAATCTGTTTTTTTAAATCTATAAAAATACAACACTTAAATCTCTTTCTCACTTATTTTTCGTCTTTTTTTTTTTTTTGCTTTCATATTATTTTATATATTTAAAATTTTTTTGCACTTTTCTCTTCCTTTTTTTACTTCTGTTGTGTCCTTTTTACTTTTAGATCTTTTTTAATTTTTTATCATCTTCAGTACTCTTTTGTTGCTTCTTACTTTTTGGCTCCTTCTTTCTTTCTGATGTTGCCTCCTCCTTTCATTTCTGATGTTGCCTCCTCCTTTCATTTCTGATGTTGCCTCCTCCTTCTTTCATTTCCGATGTTGCCTCCTCCTTTCATTTCCGATGTTGCCTCCTCCTTTCATTTCCGATGTTGCCTCCTCCTTTCATTTCCGATGTTGCCTCCTCCTTTCATTTCCGATGTTGCCTCCTCCTTTCATTTCCGATGTTGCCTCCTCCTTTCATTTCCGATGTTGCCTCCTCCTTTAATTTCCGATGTTGCCTCCTTCTTTCTTTCTTTCCGATGTTGCCTCCTTCTTTCTTTCTTTCTGATGTTGCCTCCTTCTTTTTTTCTTTCCGATGTTGGCCCCTCCTTTCTTTCTTTCCGATGTTGGCTCCTCCTTTCTTTCTTTCCGATGTTGGCCCCTCCTTTCTTTCTTTCCGATGTTGGCCCCTCCTTTCTTTCTTTCCGATGTTGGCCCCTCCATTCTTTCTTTCCGATGTTGGCCCCTCCTTTCTTTCTTTCCGATGTTGGCCCCTCCATTCTTTCTTTCCGATGTTGGCCCCTCCATTCTTTCTTTCCGATGTTGGCCCCTCCTTTCTTTCTTTCTGATGTTGGCCCCTCCATTTCTTTCTTTCGATGTTGGCCCTCCATTCTTTTCTTTCCGATGTTGGCCCCTCCTTTCTTTCTTTCCGATGTTGGCCCCTCCTTTCTTTCTTTCCGATGTTGGCCCCTCCTTTCTTTCTTTCCGATGTTGGCCCCTCCTTTCTTTCTTTCCGATGTTGGCCCCTCCTTTCTTTCTTTCCGATGTTGGCCCCTCCTTTCTTTCTTTCCGATGTTGGCCCCTCCTTTCTTTCTTTTTTGGTTTACTTTATGGCCCCCCCATCTTAAAATCATTGTTTCCCCCTTTTTTTCAACTGTATTCTTTTTAATTTATTAATATTCATTTATATTATTTTTCATCCTTTTTTTCCACTTATTCTCAGTTTTCCATTATTTTTAATCACATTTTATCTTAAAAAGATATAGTATTTTTCTCTTTCAATGCTTTAAATTTCGCTTAACAGGACAGGCTATTACAATGAACTAACATTTTTAGTAAAGACTAGCAGTAGAGCCCGGCATTGCCCGGGGATGTAACAGTAAGAGATAGATCAAGTATCGACCATCTTTATGATGGTCGATACTTGATCTATCTTGACTGAAAAATGAAATTGACAAAGATCATTGTTTAAGGTTGACGGACACGCATGTCTTAATTAGTTTTTTTTGTTTTGTTTTTTTTGTTTTGTTTTGTTTTTTTACGAATTGGTCAAACCCAAACTCAAACAAAAACATTGTTTACAATCGTTATGAGTCTATCGATTGATGAATAGAATTTTATTATAAACAATTGTCTTGTAAATGGAATTTTTAAAGCATTCTGAATGTAAAAAATAAAAGAAAAAAAATGTGCAAGACAATAAGAAACACTACCAAAAAAAAAAAAAGTGAAGTTTTGTTGAAATCGGTTGAAAAATGTAGGTAGCCTTTCTCTGTAATCTTTTACAATTTATGATTTTTACTTATTGAATACAGTAAAAAAATTGCATATTTTGCTTGTGGTGATTCATAATTAGAATTCTGATTTGAATATATTTTCCACTCGTTGTTTCTAATACAAAAAATATTAACTTTATTTGGGTTTATTAATTTATTACAAGTACTGTGTTCTTTCCTTAATAATTATCATCTTGAAATATTGTTGTTTTTTGTCTATCAGATTTCTTACTTGGCATTTTTAAATTATTTCTTAATACTTTCTTTTAAATATTGAATTAATTTCAAATAGAACCAATGCCTTATTGATCTGCCTTGTAACAAATTGCAAAGGGAATTGTAAAAACGGCCCTAAAAGTCGTGGAATTATCTTTCCCTAAAGATAAAGAATTATCCGATTTTTCGATTCGTAAAATCAGTAGAGATTGTTAGATTATTGTTTAAGGTTGACGGACACGCATGTCTTAGTTTGTTTTTTTTTTTACGATTTGGTCAAACCCAAACTCAAACAAAAACATTGTTTTCAATCGTTATGATGAGTCTCCCGATTGAATTTTATTATAAATAATTGTCTTGTAAATGGAATTTTTAAAGCATTCTGAATGTTAAAAATAAAGAAAAAAGTGTGCAAGACAATAAGAAACACTACCTGCCAAAAAAAAAGTGGATGTTTGTTTTATCGGCTGAAAAATGTAAGAAATCCGATCCCATATATAAAGGAACACACACACACACAACCTGGGTTTTTTTAACCCGATATGAGTTGTCCCCCTTTCATTCTCACGATGTGTCTTACTTAATCGTGTTTTCAAATTGATTTTGTTAAAAAACAATTGTGTTTTTACCATTTTCGGCGCCGTTAGAACCGCCACAAGGTAATTTTATGTAGTCCTGTGAAGTTTTGTTGAAATCGGCTAAAAAATGTAGGAAATCCGATCCAATATATAAACGTTACAGACACACATATGAGCAACAAGAATGATTTAAGGAAAATGAAACAAAAAGGACACTTTTACGTAACATTAGAAAGAGTTGAAATTTCTAGGACACATAATGGGAAAAGAAGGCTAGGAGAACATGACACTTGCAGGAAGTCTAGAGTGGTAGATGGAAAGAGCAAGTAAATCTACCTAATGAACTTATGTAAATAGATGAGAGAATATAGAATGGGAGGAATTGTAAACAGACAAACATTGCTATGAGCTACAAAGTATTGGAAGTTATGGAGAGCCATGAATGCCCACGTCTTGAAAGGAACTTTTTCTATAAATACTTTCATGGCAATTGTTTGGATGAGTTCTTCACCATGGTACCTTCATTTTTTTAATTTAAGCGCAGTACTAGACTGGCACCGACATCTCATCAATTTACAGTTGGCTAAATGTAACTGTAAATTCTATGCTAACAGTTTCTTTTCTCACACTTTTCGCTTGTGGAACTCCCTTCCAGCTCCATGCATTCCAGCCAACTTTAATCTTCAAATAATTTAGATGCAATGTCAATCACTATCTACTCTCCTCTTGAATATCATTTTTGTTCTCGCCCCTTAGTAATGTTTTCTGTTTCTAATTCTTCCACACCCAGTAACCCTTTCTGTCTTAGTGGCTTTACTGACTTGCTTGGGTGAAAAGAAATAAGGCACATAAAAGAAGGAATGGTCTATTGGATGCTTATTTAAAAGGCCAGTCTGTCATTTTAAGATCTCTTGTTACTCATGAAGAGAATTTCTATGGCAATTGCATATTAACAGACAGATTTTTTTTTTTTTTCACAGAAACTCAGTAAAAAATGCAAGGAAAATAGAAATCATTTGCCAGATATGCAAAAACAATCAGGAAAGTTGCAAACCAGGATGTCAAATGATGATAAAGAAAAAGTTGACGAGCAAATGAAATCACTTGAAGAAAGAACAATCAGGTAAGAAAACAAGTCAGACTTCTTTTTTCTTTTCCTTTTCAACTAATTTGTACACATTTTCTTTTTTGTGAATGTGCAAATAGTGTAATGGATACTGACATGGAAAGTAGAATCAGCAATTCAAGTTTAAATTTCAGGCTACTCTCTTGTGCTCACTTTCACTCAAATGCCCTTGGGAAACGTATGAATTTATCTCTTCTCCTCTAAACTATTGGTTTAAGTAACACAACAGTCTGGGTTCTCTAGCCTAGGAAGACTCAATTAAAAACCAGCCTGAAATATTGCCCAAGATACACCCACTGTTGCTATGGCTGCAGTACATGTGCTGCACCTCTAGCCCTAATGGGTTATGGGATCGTGACAATGTTTTTTTTTTTTTATCCTCTTGGTGTGGGCGGAGATAGGAGATACATACAAAAAAAAATTGAAGGTTAAAAACAGTAAGAGGAAAAATTTATCTAGTTTGTTATGATGGGATTGTTTGACTTCAATTTTTGGTAGCAAAATATACATTCATCATATTGCCAAAGTAAGACGTACATATATATATATATATATATATATATATATATATATATATATATCAGATGTAACAGCAAAATTGTCCAAGTCGGTGGTGGGGGATATCAGGGGAAAAATTTTTTTATTCTGCAAGTGAATCTGATCATGATTCAAAACATCTCAAAGATGATAATGAAGGTGATGATAATAGTGATGGCTCTTGAGTGACTGACAATATTTTTATCCTACCACTTGACATGCTCTGTCTTTACAAGGGCCAGTTCAGACCAAAAATGCCGTATTGCTGCCATACCTGGGCTAGAGCTACCCTGTCCTCATTTTCCAACCTTGTCAGAGATCAAAAGGATTTATGCGGCCTTGTTGGTGATGGATTATTTTCTACCCTAAACCCCCTTCTTGCAGACAAAACATTGCTAGCCTCTCACTACTTCATCACTATTTTCATGGCGGATGTTCAAACAATCTGAAATCCTTAGTCTTAACACTCCAAATCTTCACAACTAGGACCCACCATGCCATGTACCCAGGGTCAGCTCATTCTCTTTGTATTCCATTAGTAAGGTGGAAGTTCCACTCAAATACCTTTTTTGCCAAAAATGTTACTTTGTGGAACTGACTCCCAAAAGGATGTTTCTATGATCATAACCTCTTCAAGTCTAGAGTCAGCCATTATCTATCCTACATATCCTCATAATATGCATTTCTTACCTCCTCCTCCTCTTACAGCCAAACAACAATCTCATTCAGTAACCCTGTATCTTAAGTGACTCTTGGGCCTTGTATTGCAAACAATAATATGAAGAAAAAGAAAACATCATAGAGTAACAAGTCTTGTAACTATGCATACTATACTGAAAAAAATATTAGAATATATTTATTTTTCTCACCTTGGTAGCAAACTCGATGATTTAAAGTACAATATGAGATTCACTGATGGCTAAAAGGCCTCCTGTCCAGACGGGGAAACACTTCCTATTGCAAACATACAATATACAACTAGCCGATGATTACCCCAAATTGCATTTCTATTCTAGATCTCATCAGTGTACACTGAAAACTTGGAAAGAGTGCTGCATGCTCAAAAGGCAACATGATAAATGACAAATGCCGCATCAATAAATAAGAATGTGAATACTGTTTCTCATATGTAGATGTTTTATGGAAGGCTTGGCCTGCTCGTCTAGTTTGGTTGGTAGGTGACATTTGAGACAACTTCTCCTATGTCAAATCTTTCCCCTACTGACTCCTTGCCCATCAAGCACCACAACAATGTGGCTGACAATACAAATGGACAGCATTGAAACCTTGTGAAAGACAAGTCCATCTCTGCCAAGGGTGGACCAGCACTGACTACAATCCCAATAATAACTGTTATTATAGATCAGTATCCAAGTACACCCTATTTCTGGTTTTGTTGTTACTTGAGCTCCCAGAACCCCTTATCCATTCCTTCACTTCTCTGTTCTCCTCTGGTTAAAAATGGGTGTTCATAGTATCACACTATCTCTGATGCATCCTGTGGCTAAAAGAGAAACTTTCCCTCCTTTTATTATATAAAACTTTTAGCATCTAAAAGAAGTTCATTAAAAGAAATTCTTTGACCAACAAGTGGGGTAATCCCACTTATATTGGCAGGAATCCATAGAAGGAAGCACAAAGCAATATTGTTATATTGCTTTATATGTTGTTCCCTTACTTTTTTGTTATATTACATTTATTGCATAATAACAATTACATGTATTTCATTGTTACATAACAAATGTTTAGAATTCACTATTTAAGCAAAAGCCACTGAAATGGTTACACTTTTACTTCCCTTATTACTACATTTCTTGTAATAATTTGTTTTTAAAAAATTTCATTGTTTATCTTTACACTTGATATCTAAACTGCTAAAATAGTAAAAGATCATCAATCGATGCATTGCAGATCTCAGAACTCATTTCAGAACTCACAACTTAA